TATATATATATATATATTCCCGATAATTTTATATTTTGACTGGTAGATAATTTCCTATTTCATCTAACTACATTAAATATTCTTACATAATTAGAACTTGTGAAATTTCTTTATATATTTCAAAATCTTAAAACACAATTATATTTTCTACCAAAAATAAAGTCTATATAACTTGAACAAAAGATTCATATTGCACATATAGACATCCAAAAAATATGAAATTAAACAATTTATATCCAAAATTTAATATTGCTCATTTGATAATGATTTTAGACATACAGTTGCATATTGGCCTTAATAACGTATATGTTTATGTAACTTAAATCCAAAATATTTTCTCAGTCCATGAGACAATTTAAGAAATTGTAAAGTTAAAAAAAGAAGAATGCTTAAATAAACTTGTTAGTTTAATAAATAGAAAATGAAATTAATGTGCTAAGTAAATACATATTTCAAGGCATATATCACATGAACATTAAATTACATGTAATTTGTACATGAGAATTCTTACTAGGATCGTGTTTTATGATTTTACCTAAAAAAGATGTCCCTTCTTAAGAAGGGGTTCATCCAAAGGCCAATAAAACAGCAATCATAGTGCATAAGAATGCATTGGTGTAAAACTTAATTACAATCAATTAACCTTTAGAACAATAATACAGTTCAAAAAACTGATAACTAAATCAAGTATTCCCTCTTTGGTCTAGATTAGATAAGTACTTGGCACAATATACTAAATTCGAAAGCCAGCAGGTGACAAAATCGACCAAATTCACAAGGGGATTCTAAAACATCCTTGAAAAGATACTGAGGCCTTATTAGAGGAACAGATAAAGTACGAACAATGAGATAGACCAAGTATGATTACAAAGAAAAGATTCGGAGAGAAAGAACTTCATAAATAATTCCATTGAGATTTTATCAGATTTTATCATGTTTCCCGGACACATTTTTCATGACCACATTTAATAGCGATCCCTATAGTTGAGGATCAATGTAGGCCTCATAGAATTGACTACATGGTACAACTAAAAAAAGAATGTACATGTTGAACCCATTGTAGCTAATCGTGTAGCATATAAGTTAGAACTGTAGTCAGCTATAGGTCAGAGAAACTACTAGTGAATATTCTTGGAGAGTTCTTTTGAAGAGAAGCCCCAGTCAACTAAGGAGCGATTAAATTCTTTTAGGCATACAACCTCAACTAATGCTCAACTTCGTGGGTCTCTCGAGCGAGTTTAACAACACAGAATTAAGGTCAAAGGTAAGAGTAAGCTCTTGGATGCTAGCTCAATATTTGGATTTAGGAAAATTTAGATTGGTGAGTTTCAAAGTTTAAAGATGCATGAGGTTTAAAACCCTTAATTAGCGACTATTTGAATTGGTTATATTTTGGTAAATCGGTTCCCTAAACCTTATCCCTTCTAAGAAATTTAGAAAGTCATAAAAACAAAAGAGCCAATAAACCAATTTCAGCCAAGCTGACTCAACCTTTTCACAGAAAGATCATCATAGGTGGAGATGACTCCGTTAAAAGAAGAAAATGAAAAAATACAAGGTGGGAGGAGTTAGAACTCCGACTATTAAGTGAGGTGACTGTGGAAGAAGCTTGATGCTGAAAAAATCATAACTAGGAAAATGGATACTTCTACGAAGGTTCCAGTAGAGTAAAAAGCAAACTTTAAGGAAATCGCAATTAAAAACAAGGGGGTGTTAGCAAAACGGATGTCACAATGGACAGCTTGCCTACTACAGATGTCAAATTGAAGACTCAGAAGAAAGTCATACCGAAAGGGCTTATGATCCTTCTATCCGTGTTGAAAAGACAATTCCAAAAGAGGCAAAATTCATAAAGAATGTTGATGATGAAAGAGCTGATGTTGAAGTTAAAAATGACTGTAAATTGATGAAGTAAACATCAAGCATGCAAGGCCGAGGTGGCTTCCAACAAGAATTTTAAAATTCCTGTTGAGAAGCTTATGAATTTTGAGGCATCAACCCATCGTCAAAGTTGATGAAATTGATTTGATTATTTGATGAAATTGGTATTTTTTTAAAAGAATTTTAGGGTTAAGTTGATTTGTTTAGGGTTTATATTATTTTTAGGGTTAGTTGGTGTTGGGAAAAATTAGGTGAGGTCGAAGTTTGACTTTGGCGACCCACCCCTCCCTTTGGCTTGAATTTTGATGCTTTGATCCTAGTTTAGGATAGAGATATCAAAGGGTGAACCCTTCTCTGGCCTTAGTACTTAGATATCAAAGGTTAGGCTTGATCCTAGTTTAGGATAGAGATATCAAAGGGTGATTTAATTTAGTACTAGCCTTGTGCCCAATGGGTTCTTTCTAGATCAAAGAGGATGCAAGGGGAGGTTAGTAGGTCATCACAGAGACTCCTGGGACTCTAGGCTCCATGGGTTGCCTAGGGCATCCTCCACCTATAGGGATTCAACTTGGGCCCCTACCGGCCTCGACCCTCATCATCTCAACCAACAGTTGAGGATTTAAGCTTAACCCTAGGAAACCCTAAGTGAATGTAGAATTGGTTAGAAGAACTATATGGGTGAGTTCCATCTCTAGTCACCTAAGAAGGTAACCAAGTAATCCTAAGGTAAGATCCTAAGCTTATATAGAAAGAAAAGAGTTCCTCGCAAAAGTGAAGTCAACAGGGAGTAAAATATCTACTAATTTTCTGGAGTTGGGGTTTAATTTTTATTGTGTTTGCTTTCAGATTTCCTGTGTGGTGTCATTTTCCCTCTTGCTAGGGTTGTATCCGACGCAAGTGGTGCTCCATTTGTAACCTGCTCCGAGGTGGCGTTGTATCTTCCCTTTTACCGTTATCTGACCCTTCTTTTGCCCCTTCCCTAGCAGCCTACCACCCCCATCTCCCTCCAACAGCTCTATTGCCACCCCTACTACCACCAAAACCTGTTGTCCAGCCATACAATCCACATTCCAGCACCCGCACTCCCTTCCCCTACAAACACCTTGGTTGTCCAGCCCTCCAGGCCATCTACCCGCATCCTTCCATCCCTTTCCCGTAAAAATCCTTGCTGTCCAGCCCAACTACAACCCACCAAACTCCGTTCCAGCCTACCAAACAGCCCCAAGCCTTCCCCACCTTTCCTCGCCACATTGCCGACACCACCACCGCCCTCAAATATTCTTTTCCGGCCTTAACCAGAGATTAGCGTCCTTGTATTTTCCCCTTTTCTGTTTGTGTTGTGCGTAACCCCTAATTCCGTACATTAATAAAAGTTACCTTTCGTTTCTGTTGAATTCCGAACTAGTTCCGGTATCATTGCCGATCTAAGTCAACTTTCAGAGCATAGAAATTAGCCTTGATGCTATAATCTTCTCCCTTTTTTTAGAATTTTCTATGCATAAAATGAAATAAGTATTTTTTGAAAAAGATATTAGTTCAAACATTATGATTTCCTAATTTCTTTTCTTTTGAATTGATGTAATTGAATTTCTAACTTTAAAAAAGAAAAAAATTACTTTCTTTTTGAATTTGGCTAGGTTTATGATATAATTTAGTTCTTACTTCAAATAGTTACCTGTTTTATCCATTCAAGTTTATGTATGTGAAGGTGGAACTTGATGAGTAATCGCTCTTTAAGATGAAATTGGTTAACTTGAAGTTGGCCCTTTTTTATGAAGTTGTACGTCTACTATGAAGTTAGTTTTTTACTGCTGCTAGAATGGGTTTGAACCGGTCAAAGATATTCTTAGGCAGCATAGCTTATCAATTAATACGAAGAACATAGAGCTTCTCATGGCGATGATCACACTTGGGGGAGAGTTATATTAAGACCTAAAGAGAGCAAAGAGTTCTCAACCCCCATTTTGACAATGAGCTTTGCTTCTGCAACGATTCATACTTGAGCAGTAACTTCCATTTTTCCTTGAAAACGTTGCGATCATGAACTTCTCCGAATTGATTACAGCTCATGTCATGCCGAATTCCTTTGCAAACGTTGTCGCCGCTCACATCTTCCTACATGAGCAAAAGGCAAAGTGTAACCTAAATACCTTTAGAAACTTGTTTGCAATGAAGGCCTTGAAGGAGGACACAATCATGTTCACATCCAAGAACATCAAGTTGGAAGGTCTAGAGTAGAAAATAAAGGATTAGCCAAACATGTTACTTATTTGTGAAATCAGTCAAGGGATGGCCAATTAAGATCCGACCAATACCAAATTCACAAACGACAAGTAAATCAATCCTAGTCTGTTTATTGTGTGCCAGTAATTCATGGGAATCAAATTTTATGTCCTTTACTGCAAAATTCACTAATCAAAAGCCATGATTAAGGCATTAATTGCTATTCAACCACAACAAACAAATAAAAAACTTAAAATTTTAATTTTAATTTCAATTATCATTGAGTTTACTAAATTTGTTGACTTGACGGCTTTTCAAATTCCTAGAGACCTACCGAATGATATTAAAATGGGATTGGTTCAAGTGCAATCATACTGCACCAATGCACAAGATCTCATTAGAACTCCACAATTAAGCATGCAAGGCACAAAGTAGTATGATGGGTGACCTGTGAATGTTTCGTGTTGTGCCCTTTTTAACAAAAAATATTAATATGGTACTGGGCCAACTAAACAAATTTGAATTTGATCACCTACTCTAACCATGTAGATGAGGAAAGATGTCTCATCAATAGGGTAATAACCCTCTTACGAGAAAACAACTTAACCTTAGAGCTAAAAATAATAAAGAAAAATAAGAAAAAAGTGGAAGAAATTGCTCCTCCAAAGGCTTCAAAATTTGTTCATGTGACTTCAAAGCCAGCAACTTCCACAAGTTATCGATGCTGGAGTACAGCAACATCCTCTATTACGATGGTGCCATCAAGGCTACTCTTGGATGCATTCATGGGTAGAGGTGTATGCCATTGAGGCGTATAAAAGTTACCATACTAAAATCAAAGTTGTCTAGGAAGCTAGTGATGGGGCTAAGGATGCAATTATTTTCATTCCAAAAGGCGACTCCAAGTCAATACACGAGGAGATCAATGTTCCTTAAAGCTAAGGAGGCTCTGAAAGTGGGTAAATACAAAATAGAAAAAAAGCTCATGGTGCACAGTTATAAGGCCTTTATAGCCTCTTATCGTAATAAGAATGACATAGATGATATGGCTGTAGTAAACTTCAACATTGACCATTGGATCCAAAGGGTGAGTTAAACTCGATAACTTACGACCTAGATCATATTCTCTAAGTGGTTATAATAGAAGCTAGAAAGGCTGCATATTAGCTTTTTTACAGGCAATGAGAGTTAATGGAGTGCTAGCAGGAACTACAAAATTTTGTGTGAAATCAGGATCAACTAGTAAAAGTTAATCATAAAAAAAAAAAAAAAAAAGAGTTGGAGGTCCCCTCAAAAAGGAGAGAGAAACCATTCATATAACCATCAAGATAGAAAAGGTTAGATAGAAAAGAATGAAAGGCTAAAAGCTCTGGTTTCTTCATGATCTTGAAAGAAAAGTTATTAAGGACACCCATTTGTGATGGCGACTAATCAAACAAAGGAAGCATGTGGTGAGTCCTTCAGAAGCCAAATTCTAATTTGATCACTTTTTATAATGAAAATTATAACAATGAAAAAAGTTTTGGAATTATAAAATTATATAAAAAATTTAAAGTCGATTTGAAATTAGGTTGTGTCGAATCAAAACAGCCTTGTATACTAGTTCAAAGACTACAGGAGTTACCTTGCGAGTTTTGAAGCCACGTTAGAAGAAAGTAAATAAAAAAGAATGTTAAGTTGACAGCAGAGTTAATTGAGATTCCCATTGAAATCGAATTGATTAACAATTTCTTCAAATGACAATAACATATAAACTCCATTTTAAATAAGAAATAAAGAACATTTCCTGCTTAAAGATTTCAGCAAAGCAATATGTCATTGTACTTGATAAAGCTAGTGTTGCCAACTTCTTCACTAGATGCTGAAAGCAATATGTCATTGTACTTGATAAAGCTAGTGTTGCCAACTTCTTCACTAGAATGGATGACTTCAATTTCAAAAAGTCCAAAGATGAAGAAACTTCCAAAGATAGATACAAATGAGAGAATACTCGATAAGCAACTAACAACTTCCAATTGATGAAATGAAAATTTAGGTTATCTAACTTCTGTGAGATCCCTTTAGGAATGTGATAATTATTTTGTGATACTAATAACTCATATAATACTAGCCCATATGAGAATTCCCATATAAGTTAGTAATTTCCCTAAGTTTTAATCTTTAATCCATATTTTATCTTCTAAAAATGAGTCAATGCCATTAATATGGGCCACATCTTATGTTAGAGCTTTAATATCATTGAAGGTAAGCACCTTTAAAACATATTGCTATAGTGAACTTCTCTATCACGGTACATGTACCATCACAAAAGAGGAGTTCAACTTCTAGAGCTCAAATTTTAATTGATGATGAAATTTTTTAGTGTCCAGCGTGACGCTTGTTATGACAAGCTAATGAATGCATGAGTGTAGATATAAAGATGTTGCTAATTGACTTTTCGAAAGTTGAGACTTGTCGATGTGAGCAAGTTGCAGCTTGTAGTAAATAGCAACTTAAAGAATGCAAACTTGTTGAAACATCCATTGGGAGAATATTAACTTTTTGTATAGATCATTAGATTGTTTGAAAGCTCATCAAAATTGTTTTGCTTCTTACAAAAAGCAAAAAGCTCATGCTTTATGTTTTAAAATTGTTTCTTCATGCATAGACTGTTCAGCTATGAGCCGTGTTTCAACAATAAGAAGTGATCTTACACTTTTTTACTTGCTAATTTTATAAGTCTACTATTGAGAATAGCATACCTATTACTTAACTAGTAGAGTATGCATTTAGGAAAAAAAAATATTTTTTAATCACAGTCATCGATTTCTCAATCTTGTTTCCTCTTAAGTTAGCTGACTTCAATAAACAAGAAATTTTTTATTCCAAGATTAAAGTTGTTAGCTGTACCTTCAGTATATTGAATTACTAAGATCTTTGAGAAGGGTTGCTTACACATATTGAATTCTTAGAGATGAGTTCCTTAAGTATAGTGAGCTATTAAATTATTTACAATGAGTTCTAAGTTTGATTAAACATAATAAATTACAAAATAATTATATTCAACTTTTTCATTGTCACAGTATTTTCTTCAAAAAAAAAAAAAAGAAAAGAAAAAAGATCTATGTTTATTAGGTCGCTTGGCATGCACGGACCTCCCATAATCTTCAGGGTTATTCATATTATCATTTTAGCCTTGGGCATAATGCACGCTTGCCATAACAAAGGGATGATCGATCGAAAAGCAAATAAATCAACTTCAAAAAGCGAGATGGAGAAGGAGAGAGAGTATATCTCAATAAATGGTTTACAAAATAGGTTTATAATAGACTTGATTGAACACCTTTAAAGAGAAAAAGTTGATGTGCGCTAGAAGATTCGTGGCGATAGAGTAATAGAATATCGTGTTAGTGTTGCATGAAGATTCAACACACACTCAGATAAAAGAAAATAACCAATAGAGACACTGGAAGTTTTTATGTGGCAAAATCGTAAAGGAAAAAAATCACGAAGTCTGACCCAGTTGAAAAATTCATTATAAGTTGATGGTTACAAAGAACCCTTATCACACAGACGAGAAATGGTAACAAAGTCTCTCAAATTATAATGTCGACGTACGAATGAACTTGTTGCAAGGAATAAGCGGCGAACAACATGTGGTGGTTGACAGCAACCAACAATGTTAAATGATAATCGATGGCGGTCGACGGTGGTTGATAGAGGTCGACGGTGGTTCATAGTTCGACAAAGGTCGACGATGATCAAACAACAGTCGGCAACGATCAATGACGACAAGATTGATGCTGGACTTCAGCTCCTTCTCAATGTTTCAAGCTCTTATTCATGTTTCAAGCTCTCCTCTCAGGCCTCAAGCACTCCCCGCTTCAAGAGAGGGGTGGGGCTCTATTTATAGAGTCCCGGGTGCAATTAATGTAATAACATAGACCACTTTGATCGGACGGCTCAAAAGGTTTCCTTCGATCAGATGACGTTTGATGAAAATTTGAGTGTCATAACGATATCAGAATCGATTGACCTTGAGCTCTTTGGATTTGAATTGTCGAGATGCTCAATTCAATTACAAACTCGCCGGATTCGACATTCATTTCAACTTCCAAATGTTTCCAAAAATCTTTCAAAAATAGTATAGCGGCTTGATCAGGGATTGATTTTGTTCATATTGGATCGATGTTGGTACCATTAGGCCTATCTCGTCAAGCAAGTCAGTTTGACTATAAGTTTGCTGAAATTTAGACACTAGATAACTTTTAATCAAAGTTTGAATATTTCTTACTCAAAAGGTAGCTTTAAGATCCATGTCATGTCTTGAGATTTGTGCAAAATGATGAAGATTTGTTGGAGGCGTATCAAAGGTCAAGTCAAACTGAGCTACACAAAAATAATTTAAAAAGAATGATATTTATAAAGGATTTTAATGAGATTTCATAAAATATCATTGTAACATTTTCCAATACTTGACCAACAACCCTTCATTTATGGACAAGTATTAAGTTGATAATAAAATTTGTGATATAATATAAATACATAGAGTGCATAGAGGGCAAGTTAGACCTAAGGTCTGTAAACGGTCAAGGGAACTTTAAGTGAGTTTCAAATTAAGGGTGTTTCGGAGCATTCTTTTGCTAATAAACCAGAGCGGTTGACTGGTACTCTGAGATAGTTGATGAGTGATTTTGTGAGTCATTTGGTCGAGTTCAGTGGCTTACTATTGCGGGTCGAGTTCAACAATCTAATATTGAGGGTAGAGTTAAAGCTAACATCCAGCCGACTTGTTTTACAATTGTTTTTGGGTGAATTTAGATTCTTACAAAACTCTAGACTGTCAAGTTCCAAATAGTAAGCAGTTCATGTTGGAACCCGATCAGATACTTCTACAATCTAATTCAGCCTGATCAGGATGAATATGGGTTTACTACTCTCTAACTTCAATTCTGAAGAAACAAAAAGTCAGATGCTTATTTGACACTAACACTGCAAAGAAAACCAATTGTTCAGAAAACAGGTAGGATGAAAGAAGAAACCGCATACAACAATGAGCATCCATACACAGTTCTACATAGCTGCCTACATCTAAAGAAACCCCAAATTATAAAGACGAGAAATACAAAACCGATGCAGGCGATAACGAACCTTGCAGGGCCTGCCCTTGATGACGATGTATCCATTCTTTCGGATCGTTCCAGCCTGCTGAGGGTAAGTCTTCGAAGCGCCGGCATCCGCCTTCGATTCGAAGTGATGCTCCTCGTCCGACATGATCTCTTCGTTCTACAAACCACAAAAGAAACACTAAATCTTCGCCGATTTCATTATTCAGAAACAATAAATGCGTGATTAGAGGATAAGAAGGTCTACCTTCGGATGAAGAGATTGGAAGCTGCCGGCGACAAGGAGAGCGTCGGCGGCGGAGGAAGCGGCCCAAATATGGCAGCACTTTTTGGTTATCTCGGAGGAAAAAGCATAAAAATCAGAGCGGTACAATGTTCCGCAGGTGCATTGAGGATGAAGAAATTCTCGGCTTATCCCGCGTTGTTACCTCACGTCATCCGTATGTGACACGTGATAAATAATGATGGTACACGTGTCATTTCAAAGGAGAATTTTAATGAAAATGGTTCTCCTATATAGTGGGGCGCGCTTTCATTGGGATAGCTTTGAGGACACGCAGCCGGATTCGAATTATTTAATAAAAAGCAAATTTCTCCACCAATTTAATAAAAAAGCTACGGCCGCCTCAAACAGACTTCGTTGCTTCTCCAATTGATTGTCAAACTAGAGTTTAATATTGGCCAAATTGACTTGAGTCGGCTTGTGCTTGACTTGATAAGTGACTCATAAATTGAACTCAAGTCTCAATTTAACTTGTTAGCTTATGAACTTACTCATTTAAAAGATAGTTAATATAAAATATATCTAAATTATATTGAAATTTAAGGCTTTACCTTTAAATTATTAAAAATATTAAAAAAATAATATTTTATATTTTATAGCATATAGTTTCTTATAATTTATCTCATACTCGCTCGATCTCTGTCATTTTATTATAACACTAAATTAAATTAATATTTTTTTTATCTCTTTCATAATAAACAAGTCGGGTTGTGAGTCAACTCGGATTCTTAGAATTAGGCTTGAGCTCGAGCTCGAACTCTATTAATTAATCTAGCTCTAGCTCTATCTGAGGTTACTCGACTCATTTACACCCCCTATGTCAAACCCTACCATATATTTAACCTTATCGAAATATGAACTATTTATACTAGACTCAATGAATCAAAGGGCACACAATTAGAAAAAAAAAATCATTAGTAATTGATATTTAAGACTTAGAATCATTTGGAAGAAGAAAAGTCCCCGGGGACAAATTCTTCAAAATTTTCTCATTTATATTTGCATTCGTTTGCCTAGTTTTTATAAAGTAATTACAATTTTCATAATTTAGTAAAATAAAATCTAAATAATGGGGCAAGCAGCGTCGAATGAGGCTGGAAGTCGGTAGTGGCGGTGGCGGTGGCGGCGCCGTCTGGGGATGAGTGGCTACCACTATTGTGCTGGAGGCTAGTGATCAATACTGTCAGAGGCGACTAGTGATCCCCATTAGGTGGTGGCAACAACATACAATAGGTGGTAGTCAATGGCCGATAATGGCAAAAAGCGATGCCGACAACAAACACACTTTGCAATATATTTGAAAATAACTTGATTCTAGCAAATTTATAACATAACAATTTGGAATTATATCGTGAATTTTAAACTCACCAAAATTTTATATTGTATTTCATTTCCATCTAATTAAATACCAAAATTTTAAAAACAACTGCCTTACATTTTTATTCAACCAAAAACCAAAAATTTAGAAGCCTCTGCATAACATATTCTATAGACTAGACATCACTAATTAAAGCAACCAAACAACCACTAACCTTAAATCTTAGTTGTAGGCAAATCGTCCCCAAAAGGCAGAGGCTCTGATACATAATAAAATTGTGCACAAATTTATATGAAAAAAAGGGTAACGCATGAAAACAACAACAAGCCTTTACCCCACTAAGTGGGTCGGCTACATGAATCATTATCTCCATTGCGTCATATTAAGTGTCATATTTTGATTTAAAATTAAGATCATTTTTTATACAATATGTCAGAGTCATTTTAGGTCTACCTCTACTTTTCTTAACATAAGTTAAATCTAAAACATCTACTCCTAACCAGATCATCGCATGGTCGACATTTAATGTGACCAAATCATCTAAGATGACTCTCTCTAATCTTGTTAGCCACTCGAGCTACACCAACCCTTTTCACGGATACATTCGTTTCACATTTTGTCTTCAAGTGTCAAGCTACTCATCCCCCTAAGCATTCTCATCTCAACAACATTTTTATGCTTCACTTTTAAAGGCCAACATTCTATGCCATAAAGCATTGTGGGTCTCACCACCATCTTATAAAATTTTTCTTCAAGTCTAAGCGGTGTTTTTCTATCACACAATAGACCTGATGCATTCCCCCAATTCAACCACCAACTTGTAATAACATCTTCATCTATATCTCAATCACTTTGAACAATAGACCCGAGATATCTAAAACGTTTAGATCTTTTAAGAATTGATCATCTATAATTACAACTCTGCCACTAGATCTACTGCTACTAAAATTAAATTCTGTATATTCAGTTTTAAATCTACTCAAATGAAGGCCTTTAGACTCCAAAGTAGACCTCCATAGATCAAGTTTATCTTGAACTCTTTCTCTAGTCTTATCCACCTGAAAGATATCATCAGCGAAAAACATACATCATTTTACATTCTCCTGTAAATGCCCAACAAGAGCATCCATAACTAAAGCAAAAGGATATGCGCTTAAAGTCGGTCTCTGACGTAATCCAACTTAAATAGGAAAATACTTGGTCAATCCTCCTCCTGTTCGAACACAAGCAACAACTCTCAACAACTCTAATATACATATCTATACATATCTTTAATGACAAGAATAAGGTCAAATCAACATTTTTTTTTTTTCTAAAACTCTCCAAAGAACTTCTCTTAGAACCTTATCGTAAGACTTTTCTAAATCAATAAAAAATCATATGCAAATTCATCCTCCTTACTGTCTCTATACTTCTCCGAAATATTTTCACACTTCAATTGAGATATCATCCGGTCCTACTAATTTTCCACCCTCGATTTTCTTTAAAGCCTACTCAACATTCTTTTTATTAATGCGATGATATTAAGATCACTAAGATCAATCATATTTCTATATAAATAGGTAACATATAAAATAAAAATCGAGTGATTTGTTCTTATAACATTAAAAAATAGTCCTAATGTACAAATTATTAATGCTAATTTATAGGCAATAATTGATTGATATTGAATTTTCTTTTGGGGGAAGTAGGAATACCAAGTACGCAGCGAGAAGAGAGTTAGGCTGGAAGTTAATATCTCCACCAGATGGATGAGACAACCAAGCCAGAGTTAGGAAGGAAACAAAAAAATATCACAAAGAGTAGATCTGATGGATCATTGAAAAGCAATAATCACGATGTACCATATATAACACCAAAAAAGAAAAGCTGGAATTGGGGCACATGATAATGTGTATTTCAAATTTAAAGACATGAGAAATGTAAAATTTTCGATGTGATGACAAGATTTTGATTGATGTGCCTGTGCAAATGAACCTTTAGGTAGTTGGATATTTAATACACGAGAATTGTGTGCTATGAATGCCACAAGCTTAAAAGGGAAATTCACATACATGCCACATAATTCTTATATATTTACGTATCTAACCCTCAAAATTTGATATTTATATTTATAACAATTCACTATCATAAACCTATGCATGAAAAAGTTTATTTTCCCTTTAAAAAAATAACAAATATGGCGTCTTGTATGGTATGCATGTAAATATGAATGTTTATGTGTTAGATATGTAAATACATAAAATTTGTGTGCTAGATATGTAAATGCTCCAAACATAACAAAGAGTACAAAGCCTATATTTATATGCTCATACGCTGAACACAAAGACCAAACAATGGCGCTTCCTACAAATCACTCGCCCTTTCTTCCAACACTACTCCATCTTTCTAAAACTTCCATCAATCATTCCCTCATTCTCTCACCCACCACTTCATCTGCAATCATCTCGAAGAAATTTTCGAAGTCGACGAAACAAAGGAAATTACTCTCTTTTCCTTATTTTCGAGCAAGTTGTGCGCATGATCACATACGCATGCATTTGACTATCTCTGAGACGTTCTCAAGGCTGAAGAAACAGAGAAAAGTATTCTCTCTCTCTCTCTCTCTCTCTCTCTCTCTCTCTCTCTCTCTCTCTCTCTCTCTCTCTCTCTCTCTCTCTCTCTCTCTCTCTCTCTCTCTCTCTCTCTCTCTCTCTCTCATATCAAAACTGATGTATTTTCCATTAGCAAAGTAAGTTGAAACCAACAGGCATAGCAAAACAGAAAATTAAGAACTCATAAAATTAATAAAATTTACAATTAGGACATAAACAATCCACATATTTGTTAAGTTCATCATCATAAAAAAATAAGCTTTTAAATGGGAGGTGAAAATAAAGCATAGATGATAATTTAAAAATAATTATCTGATATGGAAAACAGTAAAATTAATCCATTGTAGAATGAAGTAAAATTGCATGAAGAAAGCTTTGAGGTGAAGGCTTCAGCCAAAACAATGTTACACCTTTCTCTAGGAACTCTGAGGTATAAATTTTGAGGAGTTTTCTACACATCTCAGGCGTACATAAATGATTTTTTAAAGCATGAAATATATACCATATCTAAGTATGTTTTGAACTTGATTAGGTTGCATTCATACCATACATCACTGCCGGAGATCCTGATTTATCTACAACAGAGAAGGCATTGAGGTTGTTAAGCTCCTGCGGTGCAGCTCTCATTGAACTGGGCCTGCCCTATTCCGATCCCATCTTGGATGGTCCTGCGATTCAGGTACTTAATGATGCTTCTCATATTAAAAAATATTGGGAATTTTATGTAAATAATGCAAAATTCTTATGCATTTACAATTCTAATACCTAAAGTTTGATATATAGAGTAATAACATTTTGGTGTGATAAATCTATGCATAAAAAGATGTATTTCACTTTTAAAAAGTCAATAATGACAGCATTTTAGATGTGATATTAATGAATTGAGTCTTATAGATGTAAATATAAAAGTTTACGGGTTAGATATGTAAATGCATAGGAATTGTGTGGTCTGTGTGTAAATGGCCCTAAGCCCTGAAATGTCCCCTTCAAATGTTCACCTACGTATTCATCTTATGAAAGTTATCATTAATTTTAAACTATTTGGGGCCAGCTTGAATCCATACTGTCTTCTTGTTCATACTATGTCCTGACAGAGAAGTTAAATCGATTATGTTTTAAAACAATTTCTTGCTAATCCTTTGATACAGATATGCAAAACTAGAAAACCTGTCAACATAATTGTATTTATTTTACAGCATTTTTATTTCTTTAAAGCAATTAAAAAAAAGAAAAAAAAAAGTGAACTAAACAAGTAATATGTTGTTTCTTTTCTAAATTGCTGCAAATTTTTAGGCTTCGACAGTTCGGGCATTAGCCAATGGGGTCAATTTTCAGACCGTTATTTCAATGCTGGCAAAGGTATTCTCTACTTTTTTAAATCCACCCAAGAAAAATCACTAATATTTTAGCATTTCGCAAACTCACATAATCACAAACATATAAATAAAGCCATATTCCACAAAAAATTAGAATAAATCTATTTTATAAAAATAAGATTTTCTCTGTTCTCCTTTGCAGGTAGTTCCACAATTGTCATGTCCAATCATACTGTTTTCCTATTATAATCCCATATTGAAGCTTAATAAAGAAAGTTTCGTGTCGGCTTTGAGTTATGGAGGCATACAAGGTACTCTTTTTTAAAAAAAATACACAAAAAATTATGCATCATACTGCTTTAAATTTGAAGTTTTAAGATTCAAAGCTGACAGCCTGAAACCCTTATCTATTATATATGATAGTACAAAAAAAAAAAAAACACACATACAACTCAATTCATATGTATTTACATATCTAACACCTAGACTTCAATCTTGACATATATGCTTCATTACTGATGCATGAAAATATGTATTTCACTTTTTAAATAGTTGTATTTTTAATGTGAGATGCAAGATTTGGTTGGAATAAATGTAAAAAAACAAACTTTAGGTGTCAGATTTGCATATACATAAGAATTGGATGGTATGTATGTAAACCCCTATTATAAATACTAGAAGGAATATATTCAATATTTCATTGTAACTTCAGAGAAGTAAGAGGATAAGCCTATAGCAATGAGTTACTGATGCATGAAAATATGTATTTCACTTTTTAAATAGTAGTATTTTTAATGCGAGATGAAAGATTTGGTTGGAATAAATGTAAAAAAACAAACTTTAGGTGTCAGATTTGCAACTACATAAGAATTGGATGGTATGCATGTAAACCCCTATTATAAATACTAGATGGAATATATTCAATATTTCATTGTAACTTCAGAGAAGTAAGAGGATAAGCCTATAGCAATGAGTTAGTGATACCGGCGTGAACCCAAACCAAAATAGAACTAGAAATATTATTACCGAAATTAAAAGAGTTACAATCAAATACTCTTGACAATAGGAAAATTACAACACCAACATAAAAGCCACCCTAGATCGATGACGAAGGCTGTGGATGGCGGTTGGACAACAGGTAAAGGGGTTAGTTGGGGGTTATGGGCGCAACCGGAGGCTTGGAATGGCGTGGTTGAAGCACTGGAAGGCAGAGAGGAGCAACAGGATAGAAGGGAAGAGAGGAGCGGCAACAAGCTGGGAGGCTAGAGGGCTATAGGCAGCAAGCAGGGAGGGAGCGAAGGTCTTGCCGCAGCAGGTTGGGGTGCTGTAGGAGAGGTAGCAGCAGGAAGTGGAGAATAGGGTTAGCGATAGGAAAAACAGGAGAAGGTGAATTGCAGAGGGGTTTTAGAGAAGAAAGGTAACCCTGTGGGATCAAGTTACAACCGGAGCACCCCTTGAACCTTTGGAGAAGATTACCACCCCGAGCAAGTTAAAACCGGAGCACCTCCTCACCTTCGGATGCAACCTCAGAAGAGAAAACAGTCCCAACAACTGGCTAGGACAGAAAACTGAAATTTGGAAGGAAAAAGCTAATTCTAACCAAAGAAAACAACACCTATATATAAGAAGAAATAGTATATAGAATAGGTAGAGAAAAGAAATAGAAAGTTGATGGAAAAGGAATGAGGTACACAATGAAAGTTCTAGAAAATGAAGAGCTAGAAACGAGAATGAATCAAATAGGAAAAGGGATGGTAACTCCCCAGGACTGGACTGCGGTACTGTAATAGCTACAGTACCACGTCCCGGTAAGCTCCCCAGTCAATCTTCTGGAATTGGGGGAGAGATTCGACTTTATTTGTCAAAGCTTTGGGGTCCTTGTAGTACAAAATCAGATCTGCAACATTGAACATAGTAGAAACATTATAGTCTCCTGGAAGGTCGATCTTGTAAGCTTTAATATTCCACAAAATGTCTTGATATAATAAATATGCATCCTTTTTTTGTCACATTCTGAGCTGCAGCTGTGTATAGATGTAGGTTTCCATAATGTAACTCTCAAGCCCTCAAGTTTAAAACCTGCTTCTTCCACTTCCCGTACTCGGTGGAATGTAGATCAAAAACAAATATGTGAGGTAAAATCAACTCTGGAATGAAATCTATAGCAGGTTGTGTCGCTCTCACTAACAATCACTCAGACGAGACCTCTTCTTCTTTATCGATATAACTTGGATCCCATTGAAGAATTTCCTCTCCCATCAAGCTCCTAAAATTAATTTTAAGGATGAGCTTCATCTCTTCTGTCTAGACATCTGATGATTGGTACCATGCTAAACAGAATCTAACATCTGAATAACTCCATGTCCCAGCGTGGCACAAAAAGACCCTCTTTTTGACGTACGGGATCTCCCTTAGTAGTGACAACTCAGAAATGAGTCTGTAGATCTGAATGGTTTGAAGTTCTCTTATTCGGGGTTGTCTTGTGTCTAATATTGGCTCCTCAAATTCATAACCCCTTTGGACATCCAGGGTCAATCCTACAGATGCTCCTCTCAATGCCTGCCCACAATTTGGTACTTTGTTGAAACGCCCATTACATCAATTACTACTTTCTAGAACAACTATTGTTATCTCAATTGGAATTTCTATTTTAGTGTCAACTGGAATCGATGGCGTCTCTTCCTCGTTGGTTGAAAATTGAAAATCCTCTCTAAAGTGTTCATTTTCTTTCTATTCATCGTTTATTTCTTCAATTGCTCTCTAATCAGTGAATACACTCTCCTGGTTGCGCAATCTAACTCACTATGCCCAACTCATAACACTTGAAGGACTTCTCGGTTAGGACGGATTTATGAATACGGATTGATTCCCCATGTTCTACACTCTTAATCAGTTGTTCCTCTGACGAGGTCAGCTTGGATGTTCACTTGGGTGTAATTTGGCAGATCCTGAGGTTGAATTTCGCGTGTAAGATGGGGTTGTTGCTTTGCGATGTGTTCTCTCCACATTTGAAGTTAGGATATGAACACATTCTATCTATAGTAAGCTGGTAGGAACTGACACTATATCCCCCGCTTTATCTTCAAATTCTCTCATTCTCCCCTTCGACTTTGCAGATCTAGGTCGAGGGCAATCTCCCTCTGGGTTTCATCCTCAAAGTCCGCAAGATTTCGCTGAAGTCGGCGGATATCTCGTCGTAACTCTTCCTGGTTAGGCTTGAGCATGTATCTCTTTGGTGGCATAGCCAGGCTTTAGAGCTAGGAGATGAAAGATGGAGCATGAGACTAATTGGTATAAAAAATTTAATTTGGGGTTACTGATTTTGAAAATCAACAAAGGGAAATTAGGGTTAGTTCAAAATTTGGCTATGGTTTGGTGGGTGGTAGGAATGAAAATTTTTGTCGGAGGTGGCATGGGTAGAGGCAGATGCTAGGAAACCCTAAGATATGATTAGGGTTAAACTAGCTCTGATATCAAATAATACCAGAATTAACCCAAATCACAATAGAAATATGAATATTATTGCTGAAATTTAAAAGGGTTATAAACAAAAGACTCTTGACAATAGGAAAATAATAACACAAACATAAAAGACACATTTGGGCAATGAGAAGGCGGTACATGGCAGCTGGACAAAAGGTTGAGGAGTTGGTTGGGTGTTGCGGGCGCAGCTGGAGGCATGGAATGGCATGGCTCAGCGCTGGAAAGCAGGGAGGAAGGGCGGCAGCAATAGGATAACAACGAAGAGGGAGGCCGCAGCTGGCTGGGAGGCTGGAGAGCTGGCAGCAACAGGCTGGGAGGGAGGGAGGGTCTTGTCAGAGCAAGTGGGGGTGCTGTAGGAGTGGCGACAACAGCAAGGAGTGGAGAATAGGGTTGGCTGCATGGAAAACAAGAAGAGGTGGACTACGGAGGGGATTTAAGGTAGCTTGGACAAAAATCTTAAAGGCAAAAACCGACTCTACCAAAGCAAACAACACCTATATAATTAAGAATAGTACATAGAATAAGTATGCAATAGAAATAGAAAAGTGATGGAAAAGGAAGGAGGTCGACAATAAAAGTGCTACAAAGGAAGAGCTATACAAGGCAAGGAATCAAATAGAAAAAAGGGGCTATAACTCCCCGGGGCTGGACCGTGGTACTGTAGCCGCTACAGTACCACGCCCCGGTAAGCACCCGCGTCGGTTAGTTAACTTCATTATGGCTTGGTGATAACAAGTTCTAATTATTGAAATAATATTTTTATAATTCAAGTGAAATGCTGACATGCACCAACCCCTCCTTGAAACATATATTAACCCTAGTTTCATGTTCTGGTACAACAGAATTTCATTATAACTTCATCAATAAGCTTTGTAAGAAATTTAAGATAATGTTATTAGATTTTTGTGTCTCACTGTACATTCATTAACTCAAATAGCTATCATCAAATAGAGTCAAACTCTATGCTAAAATGGGTCCTCATCTTTTTTTTTTTTTTTTCATTTTGCTGGTAAAACTACAGTGTAGAATAATGATTCAACTTCTTTCCATTTTTGTGCTTCCATTTGAAATATTTTATTTAGGTATCAAAGCAAGCATCACTCTCGAAGTGAAAAATGATAAATACCATTATGACAGGACTTATTGTACCAGACCTTCCTTTTGAGGACATCAGGAGTTTAAAAAAGGCAGCTAACAAGAAGAATATTGATATGGTATGGTTTTGTAAATCTCCCTTTCACAATTAATATACTAGTGAAGTTTTGCAATCATATTTCTCAATAATCAAAATCCATCAAATTCATATCCATAAGCAATTCCCCATTTTCCCAACTTTCCAAAAATTTCTTGAGTGGTCTCACTAATAAGAACTAAAGTATGTGTAAAAGCATGCACTTAACTTCCATATGATGCATCTTTTTAAGCATCCATGCACCTAATAAAGAAAAAACCTTCGTACTTATCCTTGACCTAACCCTATTATGATTAGAAACTCTTAACCTAGTCTAAGGCTATTTAAATTTTCAATCATTGCTCCATCACACATATTTTTAATATATTTAACACAACTTGAACACATACTTTATTTACTTAATGCTACAATTTCAATGAAATTAATATTCGATCATATTCTCCGGTCATTAAAAAACATTGATTCTCAAAATATAGATGTACTTTTTTTGTATTACCGTCTCCATAACATGAATTAATGGAAGTTTTCTACAAACATTCTTTGCATAAGTAACATTAAAGGTAAGATTTGAAACCAGTACCAATTACTAAATGATATAAAAAGTGAAAAAAAGGAAAGTTAAACATTGGTTTTGATCCAAACAAAAGCCAAAATGATAGTTAGAGGGGTGCAAACATAAATTTAATCCAAAAATTTGAAAAAAATGTAACATTTAAATTTCAAGCTTTGGCTAATGAATAATTTCATACATATTGATTCTTTAACATAGCAAATGTATTTAATTATATAAATTAATTTTGTTTAACTAACTTTATTTGACACAGATTTTGCTTGCCACACCAACTACTTCAAAACATCGAATGAAAGCCATCGTCGATGCTACGGATGGTTTTTTGTACCTTGTAAGTTTATTTAACAGATTCAAATGTAAAGTCTACATGCACCCTAAATTTCACATCTAATTAAATTATAAAATATACAGCATACATTCATTGTTATAATGAAAAAAATGTTAGGATGCTATTACTTTTAGCACTGTAGATAACCAATCTATAAATCACATCAAGCCAAAATAGCAGCTTAGGTTTCCAACCGCTTATGCTAATATGTTAACTAGTTGTACGCATATTTCATATCACTAGGTACCTAGGTACCGACACAAGAAAATAGTCTCTCTGCAAATAAAAAAGTTTGATATGTCCTAATTTTATTTCTGATAGCTGTAGTTTTAGATACAAGTTGTGTCAATCCTTTATATAAAAGTCTATAAGAATTCAAATTTGCTATTGATTTTGAATCAATCTACTTCTCTTCAATAATATTAAATAATGAAAAAATATTATATATATTAAATACACCAGTAGATATTCTAAACTATACACGGTAAGTTTATTAAGCCTGTCAAAAATTTTGTTATACATTAAAAAAAGATGGATCCAAAAACTTGTAAGTATCTCTTAGAAACAAAATTTTATGGGACAAAAATCTATTCGTATAGTCGCCCATAGAGTTTTTCCTTGTCTATCTTTTCTTCGCCATTGCCATCTATTCACTCTTTCTCTTCCTCTCTCTATCTTTCTAATTTTGAGAAAAATATTACATGGGTAGCTTATAAAATTTACATATAATTAAAGATTAAGCATTTCTGCAAACGTTTTGAATAAGGCTAGATGATGATCAAAGACTAAGCATTTCACTAGTATAATGCTTGGGTATAATCACACATCATTAAAATTTTAATACAAAACAAGAACGTGCGCAAATTTAAACAGTTAGCTTTGGCAATATTGAAGAATTATTTTCTTTTGGTGAATTAAATATTTAAATAAACTAGCATTTTGCAACTCTTATTATACCTGAAATATCACCAACTTATTAATAGTATGAATATTTACTTTTTGTTATAATCATATATTCTCATTATTAAGGATATTCTTCATTACTGTATTTTTCTTTGTTCTCTACTTGTGACTATATATTGGCATTTTTTTGCTTCTGCTAGCATGAGAATTCAATAAATATATAGTTTTTTATAATTCTTTCTAGTTTTCAACAGCAACAAATCACAAAAATATTAAAATTTATCTACGAGTAAAGTTGATATGTGACATCATAATAGAATTATGACTCAAATTATAGACCAAATTAAGATTAACATAAGACTGGGAATTAAATTTAGGCATTTTTAAAAATAAACATTTAAAAGACTAGCTGAAATTGCAATAAAATACACATAAATTAATTGTTTAATTTACTTTATTTGGAGAGACAGAGAGACAGACAGATACTGCATGCTTTTTATAACGATTGGTCATGCAATGAATTGGTGTCTAATTTAAATAGGTTAGCACAAATGGAGTCACAGGTGTGCGCTCAAATTTGGATTCAAAAGTACAATTTCGATTGGAAGAACTACAAAGGGTAAATACTTTCATGCTTGAGTTTATCTGATATTTGTTGTCATGATATTTATATAAACTTTAGAAGATAGTTTTTCTAACTTCATGATTTATTATCCTAAGCAATAAAATAAATGTGAAATGTTTTTACTATTGATATTCCTCCAAGTGACAACAACATGCAATAAACTTTTTAATTACCAAAAAATTGTTGGGTTGGCAGTTTTTTATATTATGATGGTCTTCAAATCATTAAAGAGATCATCCAATTTTATCAAAAATATATCAGATTGAAATTGAAATTCACATCATTTTAAAATGAGTAAGGTTTCAAGATAGTCCTCTGACTATTGACTGTTGACCTCATTTTTGTGAGGTCTTTTCTT